CCGTTGGACGTCACGAGTCGTTTCTTGTTTTGTATTTGAGTTTAAACTTTAACTAATTAAAGTATATTTGTTCATCACGCTGCGCCTTGGTCTGTTCCATATGACGACCGTGACAGAAAAACCCACCATGCAACGACCAAGCAGCGTGTCCAGGGGCAGCTCTTGGGCTGGACATGGGAGGAAGCGCCGGGAGAAGAGACGGTGGAGGCGCGCCGTAGAGAGGAGCAACGGCGTGATCAGGGTCGTCGTCGGGCGGTCGAGAGGCAACCCCAGAAATTTTTTAGGGGGGGGCACACGGCATGGACGACGGGGCTGACGGAGGCAAAAGAGGGGCGGATCCAGAAGGCCACCAGGCCAGGGGTACACCGCCCTGTACGTCCTGTGCGGATGCCTCACACAGAGTGTGTGAGGGTAGGCATTCAGCCAGGACGGGTTGTGGCCGCTCTTCACTCCAGGCCTCCTATCCGTCTCCACAGCCCGGTTCGGCCTGTCCCTGCTCCACGCACCAAGCCTACGGTGTGCGTCGCCAGCCCAGTCCGGCCTGTCCCTGCTCCACGCACCAAGCCTACGGTGTGCGTCGCCAGCCCAGTCCGGCCTGTCCCTGCTCCACGCACCAAGCCTACGGTGTGCGTCGCCAGCCCAGCCCGGCCTGTCCCTGCTCCACGCACCAAGCCTACGGTGTGCGTCGCCAGCCCAGTCTGGCCTGTCCCTGCTCCACGCACCAAGCCTACGGTGTGCGTCGCCAGCCCAGCCCGACCTGTCCCTGCTCCACGCACCAAGCCTACGGTGAGCGTCGCCAGCCCGGCCCGGCCTGTTCCTGCCACTCGCACCAAGTATACGGTGCGCGTCGCCAGCCCGGCCCGGCTTGTTCCTGCCACTCGCACCAAGTATACGGTGCGCGTCGCCAGCCCGGCCCGGCCTGTTCCTGCACTCGCACCAAGTCTACGGTGCGCGTCGCCAGCCCGGCCCGGCTTGTTCCTGCCACTCGCACCAAGTATACGGTGCGCGTCGCCAGCCCGGCCCGGCCTGTTCCTGCCACTCGCACCAAGTCTACGGTGCGCGTCGCCAGCCCGGCCCGGCTTGTTCCTGCCACTCGCACCAAGCATACGGTGCGCGTCGCCAGCCCAGCCCGGCCTGTTCCTGCCACTCGCACCAAGTATACGGTGCGCGTCGCCAGCCCGGCCCGGCCTGTTCCTGCCACTCGCACTAAGCCAGGGGTGCGAGAAGTCAGCCTGGTAAGGCCCGTTCCTCCTCCACGCACCAAGCCAGGGGTGCGAGTCGTCAGCCTGGTAAGGCCCGTCCCTCCTCCACGCACCAAGCCAGGGGTGCGAGTCGTCAGCCTGGTAAGGCCCGTTCCTCCTCCACGCACCGAGCCAGGGGTGCGCGTCGTCAGCCTGGTAAGGCCCGTTCCTCCTCCACGCACCAAGCCAGGGGTGCACGTCGTCAGTCCAGCACAACCCGTGCCTGGGTCACCGGTGCCTGGTAAGGAGCTGAAGCTAACCGCTCCTGCTAAGTCCAGTCCTGCTCCTGCCGGCGGGGCCAGACTGGACCAGGGGCGCTATGGGGGGTGTATTGGAGGGTGGTGGTCAAGGCCGGAGCCAGAACCGCCGCCTAGGAGGTATGCCCGCCCAGCCCTCCCCTGTTTTGTTTAGTTGAGGCGCGGTCGCAGTCCGCGCCTTTAGGGGGGGGTACTGTCACACCCTGGTTCTGGGACTCATTATGTTGAGCCAGGGTGTGTTCATTCTATGTGTGTATTTCTATGTTGGTAATTCTGTTGTGTTTAATTCTGTTTGCCTGAGTGACTCCCAATCAGAGGCAACGAGTGTCAGCTGTTGGCTGGTTGTCTCTGATTGGGAGCCATATTTAAACTGTATGTTTTTCCCTTTGGGTTTGTGGGTTTTTGTTCCGTGTTCGGTCATTGATACCGTTGGACGTCACGAGTCGTTTCTTGTTTTGTATTTGAGTTTAAACTTTAACTAATTAAAGTATGTTTGTTCATCACGCTGCGCCTTGGTCTGTTCCATATGACGACCGTGACACTCTGGATCATCCAGATGGTCATTGGCAAACTTCAGATGGGCCTGGACATGCGCTGGCTTGAGCAGGGGGACCTTGCGTGCGCTGCAGGATTTTAATCCATGACGGCATAGTGTGTTACTAATGGTTTTCTTTGAGACTGTGGTCCCAGCTCTCTTCAGGTCATTGACCAGGTCCTGCCGTGTAGTTCTGGGCTGATCCCTCACCTTCCTCATGATCATTGATGCCCCACGAGGTGAGATCTTGCATGGAGTCCCAGACCGAGGGTGATTGACCGTCATCTTGAACTTCTTCCATTTTCTAATAATTTCGCCAACAGTTGTTGCCTTCTCACCAAGCTGCTTGCCTATTGTCCTGTAGCCCATCCCAGCCTTGTGCAGGTGTATAATTTTATCCCTGATGTCCTTACACAGCTCTCTGGTCTTGGCCATTGTGGAGAGGTTGGAGTCTGTTTGATTGAGTGTGTGGACAGGTGTCTTTTATACAGGTAACGAAAAACTAACAGTCTGTGAGAGCCGGAATTCTTACTGGTTGGTAGGTGATCAAATACTTATGTCATGCAATAAAATGCAAATGAATTACTTAAAAATCATACAATGTGATTTTCTGGATTTTTATTACAGACCTCTACATGCTTTGTAAGTAGGAAAACCTGCAAAATCGGCAGTGTATCAAATACTTGTTCTCCCCACTGTATGTTGATATCAGCAGTCTGAGGAAAAGGGAATTTAAAAAAAACATCCTACACAAAATGTTTAGTAAACTTTTATTTTTAGTTGATCAGCAAAAGAGGAACTGCGAAAGGGATAGTGCAAATTGATTTCTGCTTTGAAAGCTGCAGATTCTACCATATGTGATACAAGCAGACCACCCTCAAGTTAAGATGGTCCACAATTTATATAGTTAAAATCATTTGACAGTTTTCATCAAGGATCAAGCTATTACATTCAGTGAGCTGGAAGCATTGAGCTGTAGGCCTATTCTGAGGCACATTCATAACCTGACTCCCAGACTAAAAGGAACATAATTCTGTCTCAACAAGCACATTGGATCTAATAAGATATTTCTGATATTATTACAGACTCCTTTTTTACCAATAAAATAACATGGACTGGCCCAGATAGCATCTGACACTGCACATGAAGCCTAATTGGCCTTTAAGAACCTGGTCCCTGGCAGTGTCTGTCCGATGTGCTTTTTGTATGTTAAAATGACAATGCACTGCTCTGAAAACAGTTTGCACCCTGCAATTCCCAGAATTGACTATGCTAGCTTATTGTGTCCCCTTTATAATGTCACGTGATATTGTGCAATGATTAATTGCTCATGACTCAGGAGTATAATATCATTATGAATTCCAACCATTCTGGAACTTTAGCTGTAATTGACTAGTAGGAACGATGGTAAAAGCAGGAGACAAGGGCTGTCCCCCAATTGGAACCTTAAAAAAGGTCCAATGGAGCCATTTTTATCACAATATCAAATCACTTATGGGTAACAATGAAGTACATTACTGTGATTGTTTTCAATTTAAAATTGTCAAAAATCAACAAAGATAGCTTCTTAGCAAGAATTCCGCTAGACTGTCTGGGAGTGGGGAGGGGAAAACTGAAATCAAGCTGTTATTGGCAGAGAGGTTTGGAACTCTTTCTTATTGGTCTATTAACTAATTTACCTCATGGTGACGTCACCATGGAAAGGCCAAAGCTCCAGCCCACCAAAACAGGCACATTTCAGGCGGTCTTTTCAAACTGCTCTTACACTAAAAGGGCATCATCAATTTCACAATATTATTCCAACCTCATATTGTAGAAATATATATAAAAACACAGGACAATCACATTTTTGACTAATGGGCCTTTCACCCCCAAAGGGCTTTGGTGAAAAGGGAATAATAGGGTGCAGTTTGGGACGCAGCCAAGGAGTGTAGAGTGCTTGATGAGGAGTGTGTGACCTTTTAGCTGTTGGTCCTTGTGCATGACTACTCCGAAGGCTTTCTGATGTCAGCTTGGTGACGATAATCAGCTATAGGCTGACTACAGTGTTGTCACTGTTCTGTTGATATCTCCCTGTGATGAGAACGTGAGTGTGCAGAAGCTAGACAGAGATATCTTACTGTATTACCGTGAGAACTCCTTTTCAGCTAAATAATAACAAACAAAAATCCACAAAAGCTGTACCTTAAACTGTCAACAAACAATTACATGCATCTGGAAGATGCTGCAAGAAACAGTAGTTCAATGTATACAATTTTACAAGGCATACTGTTGGAAAGCTCAGCAGCAGAGTTCACAGTAAAACGTTGAAAAGGATCAACATCATTCTAGGATTCCCAGGGGCCATCTCCCTTTATCTGTTCTTTAGCTCTGGTCCAGGTCATTAGTGAGCGTTCCTCCACTAACACGTTCCTTAGTGTAGGAACGCACACTAACGCCCTGGACCAGAGATAACTGTTATTATGCTATGATGTGTATCTATAAATACACATCTTTCTTTATAGGAAATACTTCCCACTAAATGGAAGATATTTGTATCATTCTAAATAGCTATTTGCTGCAGGAAGACCTACTGTATAGCTACTCACATTCTGAAGATATCTTAACGAAAGGGTTATGTTTAAAAGAGTAATTTCAACAGACATTTAAATAAATATAGCTGGTTGCGTTCACTTCAACCTATTCTGCTATGGAATACCTGGGAATTCCTCTCTCCAACCAAATGTTGATCATTTGCAGGCATTCTTGTAATGAGTACGATCGCTGCTTTTATGCAACATAGGCCTATTACATAACCTTTCGGTTAGATACTGTAAAACGAACAAGTAAAGACAGTTGCACACCCCAATGATTTATGGGTAAATAAAAAACTATTTTACCCATTAAATCATGTGCAACTTCCCTTTTTCTACAATCTTTCACTATTCAGTCTACCAGTGCTCTCTGCGTTTCCTTGGACCCATCCTTTCAGGAGTTGGGAGTCTGACTTGGGGATGACCTGCGCTCTGGGAGCCTGGATACGCCATTGATGTTGGCCTGTTTGGCCCCGTCTGGGTTTCCACCCAGGTCCTCACTCTGACCACACAGCTTCAGGGCTCGAGTGATGAACACATCCAGGTCAAACGGGCCCCCTTGCCCCCTGGAGGGAAGCATCTGGAGGCGCTCATGGATCGACGAAGGAATCGGCGGTGACATTGACGGAGGAGATGAGGGAAACAGAGAGGGAGGGGAGCGGGACGAGGCAGGTGGGCTGAGTGTTTCGTCCTCGTCCAGTCCAGCTGACGGCCGTATGACCGGCGAACAGCAGTGGAAGAGGGGGGCGGGGAGGGAAGTAGGAGAGAGGGGCAGCGGGGGTGAGCTGGGGTAGGGCAGGGGTTCCTGGGGCAGGCTGGGGGAGTGGAGGCGAGACTGAGTGCTCTCCACCCAGCGAGAGATCTCCTGGAATAGGTCCTCAGGCGACTCCTTTACAGGCAGCTCCTCCACATTGGCCCCTCTAGGCTCAGGCACCGGCAGCTGGCTGTTCCTCTTCCAGTGAGACAGGTCCAGGATCAGTTTGGGCTCGGAGTAGTGCTGCGGCTTGTCTTCCCTCCACGCGATCTTATCTAGATAGGAAGGAGAGCCCACTTTGTAGTCACAGGAGCGGCCACAGTCCATCTCAGTGTAGGCCCCGCTCCCACAAGCACGCTCCAGAGAGGAGTGGGAGTGGTCCAGGAAGCGCTCGGCGGAGCTGCTGTTGGAATACTTGCGAGGGTCCACCTGGGCCTCTTCCAACAAGGGGTTAGAGCCTGCCTTAGGATCCCTCAGGACCTCCTGCTCTTCTGGGCCGCCCACCTCCGAGACCCCAGGCATGCACTGACATCCACCCTGCTGCTGCCAGCACAAGTCTGATGACAGGCTGGTCTCATTCCTGCTCAGTGGAAACAAAGTGCTTGTCAATGAAACATCTAAGTTGCCATTTCAGTCTATTGTTGTGAAGAAAATATGTGTCTTTATACCCGTTACATTTTCTACATACACGTACGCGTGCACACACACACACACACACACACACACACACACACACACACACACACACACACACACACACACACACACACACACACACACACACACACACACACACTATGAATGAAGAAAGAATAAGAAACTGAAATCACCTGGTAGACACTGCAACTTATATTGAACAAAAATATAAACGCAACATGTAAAGTGTTGGTCCATTGTTTCATGAGTTGAAATAAAAGATCCCAGAAATGTTTTGCTTAAGCTTATTTCTCTCAAATGTTATGCACAAATGTCTTTACATCCCTGTTAGTGAGCATTTCTCCTTTGTCAAGTTAATCTATCCACTTGACAAGTGTGGCATATCAAGAAGCTGATTAAACAGCATGATCATTGAGGGAGCGTGCAATTGGCATGCTGACTGCGGGAATGTCCACCAGAGGTGTTGCAAGATAATTTAATGTTAATTTCTCTACCATGAGCCGCCTCCAACATCGTTTTAGAGAATTTGGCAGTGCGTCCAACCGGCCTCACAACCACAGACCACGTATAACCACGCCAGCCCAGGACCTTCACATCCGGCTTCTTTACCTGCGGGATTGTCTGAGACCAGCCACCCGGACAGCTGATGAAACTGTGGGTTTGCACAACCAAAGAATTTCTGCACAAACGGTCAGAAACCGTCTCAGGGAAGCTCGTCTGTGTGCTTGTCGTCCTCACCAGGGTCTTGACCTGGCTGCAGTTCGGCGTCGTAACTGGGCAAATGGGCACCTTCGATGGCCACTGGCATGTTGGACGAGTGTGCTCTTCACGGATGAATCCCAGATTCAACTGTAGCGGGCAGATTGCAGACCGTGTATGGCGTCGTGTGGACAAGCAGTTCTTCCATGGCCTGCATACTCACCAGACATTTCACCCATTGAGCATGTTTGGGATGCTTTGGATCGACGTGTACGACAGCGTGTTCCAGTTCCCGCCAATATCCAGCAACTTCACACAGCCATTGAAGAGGAGTGGGACAACATTCCACAGGCCAAAATCAACAGCCTGATCAACTCTATGCGAAGGAGATGTGTCGCACTGCAAGAGGCAAATGTTGGTCACACCAGATACTGACTGGTTTTCTGATCCACGCCCCTCTTTTTTGTAAAAGTATTTGTGACCAACAGATGCATATCTCTATTCACAGTCATGTGAAATCCATAGATTATGGCCTACTGAATTTATTTCAATTGACTGATTTCCTTATATGAACTGTAACTCAGTAAAATCGTTGAAATTGTTGCAGGTTGCGTTTATATTTTTGTTCAGTGTACTATGACAGAATAAACAACTTGGCTGTTAAGAGGGCAACAGTGGCATGCAGGTGAAGTGTCTACCAGGATATTTAATTAAGAGTAGAATGAATAAGCTTCTATATATAACATCCACACAACATTTTATTTGGCTACATCTTACTCAACTTTATTTAAACTTTTCTTTGCTATATTTATTGTGCACAGCATGTCACAGTTCATTTCATAATCTCTTTCTGTTGCGTTGCTGTTATTATTCACTAAGTGTGTTTGCTGCTGTGTGTGTGTCTCTGTGTTAAGTTTAGCTGACGCCATAGAATTAAATAGAAATGAATGACATAGTACTATATAGATGTATCTCTATGGCTGACACACACTAGCCTAGTCCCAGATCTGTTTGCGCTATCATGTCAACTCCTTGACATGACAGCACAAACAGATCTGGGACCAGGCTTGACACAAACCTGTCCCAGTGAGAGCTAAAGGCCTGGCTGTGACTGTGGCCAGGCTCCGTGACCAGGCTATCATCCAGCTCGTCCTCTATGTGGAAGGGCTGGGGCGACATGGGCTCGTCCTGAGGAAATGAGTACTGCTGCAGGAAGGGATGGGACAGGGCCTCCTCTGCCGTCAGCCGGTCCATGGGGTTAAAGGTCAAGATACGCTCCAGAAAATCAATGGCTAGTGGACAAAGAGACGGGAACGGAGAACAGAAAAGGGTTTCAAATGATGTGCATACCTGGCTGCAAGTAATGCCATATCGCATCAGGAACATATTTTTCTAGGAATAGTAGGCAACAAGTTAGTTAGACACACGTGTGTTCATGATTTTTAGCAGGGACAAAATCCAACAGAAAAACAGTTCCTCCACCCTCCATCCCGCTCACCATCCGAATCCACCTCAGGGAACAGCTCCCTAAATGACCTCTTGACCTTCCAGCCATGGCTGATGTAGGAGGGCATGACCTGCAGGAGGTCCAGGCGGTCCTCTTCCCTCAACACAGGCACCGTGTCCAGGATCAGCTGCATCTGCTCCAGTTCATGGGCTCCTGCAGAGCAGCCACGAGGAACCAGGCAGGAAGACAGAGTACCAGGAGTAAAGAAGCATTTAAATCGAATCATGATTCCAAAACTAGAAAAAGGTCATTTCCATGAAGAAAAATGATGTGCCTTGCTTTAGCTGTCCAAAAGTACTTTTGTGGTAGTGGAAGAAGTTTAGAAATTGTTTAAGGCTAGTGTTGAAAATTTGAGGCTAACTTAGAAGTAGAAGTATTTTTAAAGACTGGTATTAAGATGGTTGGAGCATGCTACTGGGAAAAGAAAAGCTGAACACATGACTAACGAGCTACTGACAAGGTCATGGAACACATACTGAATAATTAGTCTGGATAAAAGTATCTGTACATGACCAATTTATTATTAAAGAATGACACCGAAAGCCTAAAGAAACTATCTTAAAATGCTTATATAATGTGAGTCTCTGTTCAAGTCTCCAAATGATCTGTTTTTCTTTCGAGTTCAGCCAGTGTAATCTTAACAGCAGGGGGAGCTATAATGACACTGGCACTGCGAGACAACATCAAAGCTCAACTCTGTACCAAATGGCACCCTATTCCCTATAGTGCACTACTTTTGACCAAAGGCCTATGGGCCCTGGTAAGAAATTAATGCACTACATAGGAAGTAGGGTGCCATTTGGGAGACAGCCATATCCTGGATCATTTTGCTTCTAATAATTACTCTTATAGACACTGTTAAGCAGGTTGGATAGAGGACAGACAAATGGCAATTTCTGTATTATGCTAAAAAACAAACATCCCGGTAAACAAAGTATACCATCTCTTCACAACATCAAAAATATGCTGGACAGACAAATAGACTGTACTGCCCAACAGCATAAAAACAAAAAATGGGCACTACCCTTAGTTTATCTGAATCATGAATCATTCAATCTAGATCTCTCAAATCACATTCATATCTACACATCTCTACCTCAATAGACCTCTTACCTGCAAAGAGCATGCGTCCTGTTAGCATCTCTGCGAGGATGCAGCCAGCTGCCCACATATCAATGGCCTTGGTGTAGTTGTTGGGAGAGAGCAACAGGTGTGGAGACCGATACCATTTAGTCACCAAGCCCTCTGACAGGTAGCCCTGGCAAGTACACACAGACAACAGCACACACAAGGTAAGCATGATGAGTAAATGAATATGTAGAAGGTTCTCTACCTTTGTACATTTTCATGGCTCTTTTGCTAAGATATCTTGAGGGCTTTTTAACAGCTGCCCCCAACTCTTCACGCTCACATATTACGGGTAGGCTATAGAAGACAGTATTCTTCTTCATGTCAGTTACAATGGTTCGAGACATATCTAAGTATGGTGGAACAGAAGGTCAGAGAAAAAGCATTTGTCATAATTTATTACCCAATTACTGCACCTTCCTCCTTTGAAGTGGTCCTCTAACACTATTCTGCCTAGTGACACACTGGCTTCATCTCGTTAGAGCAGCACAACTAGACCACTTTATCGCCTCTTTTTTATTTATAACATCCATTACACCCACAAACAGCATATGCTTTACTATCATTGTGGGGACTTAAAATTAATTTCCATTAAAAATCCTATTTTCCCTAACCCCTACCCTAAAATAGCCTTTGTACTCGTGGCAAATGTTCCTTGTTTTACTATCCTTGTGGTAACTTTTCCGGTACCCACAAACCTTTCTCACCTCCTCCCACTCTCCAGGTGATTAATAATTTAATAGGGTTAGCTCAGCAGGTGGAGAGATTCAGTTAGGCCTCCTGTCACCTTTGCTGCAGCCCCTCCTCTCTGAATAAGCAATCTGTCAAATCTCTGCTTACTGTCCAAAAGCACAGTTTAGTCAGTCACTGATGGTTCCAAAAGCTAAGTCAGATTTACAATGATAGGTCTTTGTGTATTGTTGCGTCGCTATGGGCCCTGGTGAAAAGTAGTGCATTTAATAGGGAATATGATGCCATTTGGGACACATCCAATGTCTATATTTGACAGTAACGAAATGTTGTTAGGCGTTATTAGCACTTCAAATCAAAGCATCTGTCATTATGATAAAACTGGCAAAATAATTGTATAGCACCATTGATGAGAAATTGGCACTGATTATGACAACAGACGTAATGCTTATGGAAACCTGTCAACCCTCTGCCTCACGCTTTCACGAGCGCTGCGGCACACTCACAGGTCAACTGAAACGATATGAACAATTCAAACGGCCTGTCAAATTCCTCTCCACATCGGAGGTTGATGACAAATCCCTGACGTCTTTTCGTCGTTGTGTCTGCTGCTAAGTTCTTTGCAACTTTAAATTTAGGATGAAATATTCTTAATGGTGACACTATCATGCATCCTCCCATAAACCCCTCACCACTTGCCATTTACCAAGCAAGGACTATCCCAGCAGCAGTGGTGAGCATTGGCCTGTCAGCCTCTCTCTAAGAAAGCGTGGCATAGGGAGAACCGGAGATGCTATGGTTGCGGAAATGACACACTAATCCCTATATAGCACATTACTTCTGAATCGTTGTGCTATCTTGAAATAAACATATTAATGTTAACATATTAGAACTTATTGATTACTATACATGCATAATGAATGTATATGTTGGGGTCAATGGCGGGTGGATAAGAACTAGGTATATGGAAAGTTACTGAGTGAGGAAGGGAGAGTGCAGAAAGTTTACATTGTGTTAAAATTGTATTGTTAAATCTGGTACAGTCCCCTGTAGCTCAGTTGGTAGAGCATGGCGCTTGCAACGCCAGGGTTGTGGGCAACAGTCTGGTTTCAGTCACTGATAAGGTAGGACAGCCGTGGAGTAGGGAGGAGTGAGGTATTCGCCCCGAGGTCAGGTCAGATGAAGTGAGGAGGAACAGTCAGTCTTGTCACACACACATTTATTTCCACGCCCATGAAGGTTCTAGCAGTAGGCTACACCAATGAGAGGAACCAATTAAGTTCCTGACTAGCAACAGATGTATTGGCTGTCTAGATGTGCAAGGAGTTGACTCCGCCTAGTAGGAGGGTGTAAATATATGTGCTTGTGTGAACGTCTTTGTCTTTGCAGCTGTTTGACCCAGGGGGAAATAAACTTGGGTTTGAGTTTTTCTAAGTCATCCGTTTGAGTTTGTTTAGAACCTAACAAAAGGGAATAGGGACGCAGATCCGATGCAATTTAGGACGCAGATCCGATCCTATCTCATATATCATATATCTCTCCACAATCAACACAGGCCTGTCAGAGGAGTTCATAACTGTCTGGACTGAGTAGCTACAGTGCATTTGGAAAGTATTCAGACCCCTAGACTATTTCCAATTTTTGTTACGTTACAGCCTTATTCTAAATTTGAATTTAAAAAAATTGTCATCAATCTACACGCAATACCCTATAATGATAAAGCAAACAGAGGTTTTTAGAAATATTTGCAAATTTATTAAATATAAAAAACTGAAATATCACATTTACCTAAGTATTCAGACCCTTTACTCAGTACTTTGTTGAAGCACTTTTGGCAGCGATTACAGCCTTGAGTCTTCTTGGGTATGACGCTACAAGTTTGGCACGCCTGTATTAGGGGAGTTTCTCCCATTCTTCTCTGCAGATCCTCTCAAGCTCTGTCAGGTTGGATGGGGAGCGTCGCTGCACAGCTATTTTCCGGTCTCTCCAGAGATGTTCGATCTGGTTCAAGTCCGGGCTCTGGCTGGACCACTCAAGGACATTCAGAGACTTGTCCCGAAGCCACTCCTGCGTTGTCTTGGCTGTGTGCTTAGGGTCGTTGTCCTGTTGGAAGGTGAACCTTCGCCCCAGTCTGTGGTCCTGAGCACTCTGGAGCAGGTTTTCATCAAGGATCTCTCTGTACTTTGCTTCGTTCATCTTTCCCTCGAGCCTGACTAGTCTCCCAGTCCATGCCGCTGAAAACATCCCTACAGCATGATGCTGCCACCACCATGCTTCAACGTAGTGATGGTGCCAGGTTTCCTCCAGACGTGCTGTTTTTTTTTTTGTTTTTTTTTTGGGTCATTTAGCAGACGCTCTTATCCAGAGTGACTTACAGGAGCAATTAGGGTTAAGTGCCTTGCTTAAGGGCACATCAACAGATTTTTCACCTAGTCGGCTCGGGGATTAGAACCAGCGACCTTTCGGTTACTGGCACAACGCTCCTACCCACTAAGCTACCTGCCGCCACCTGCTTGGCATGCAGGCCAAAGAGTTCAATCTTGGTTTCATCAGACCAGAGAATCTTGTTTCTCATGTTCTGAGAGTCTTTAGGTGCCTTTTGGCAAAACGCCAAGCGGGCTGTCATGTGCCTTTTACTGAGGAGTGGCTTCTGTCTGGATACTCTACCATAAAGGCCTGATTGGTGGAGTGCTGCAGAGATGGTTGTCCTTCTGGAAGGTTCTCCCATCTCCACAGATTAACTCTGGAGCTCTGTCAGAGTGACCATCGGGTTCTTGGTCACCTCCCTGACCAAGGCCCTTCTCCCCCGATTAATTAGTTTCGCCGGGCCACCAGCTCCAGGAAGAGTCTTGGTGGTTCCAAACTTCTTCCATTTAAGAATGATGGAGGCCACTGTGTTCTTGGGGACCTTCAATGCTGCAGAAATGTTTTGGTACCCTTCCCAAGATCAGTCTCTCGACACAATCCTGTATTCGGAGCTCTACGGACAATTTCTTCGACCTCATGGCTTGGTTTTACTCTGACATGCACTGTCAACTGTGGGACCTTATATAGACGGGTGTGTGCCTTTCCAAATCATGTCTAATCAATTGAATTTACCACAGGTGGACTCCAATCAAGTTTTAGAAACATCTCAAGGATGATCAATGGAAACAGGATGCACCTGAGCTCAATTTTGAGTCTCAAAGCAAAGGGTCTGAATACTTTCTGAAAGCACTGTATGTGAAGACGCTGTTCGAACATGAGGGAACGAGAGCAGGCTGAATGGAACAGGGAGAGCAAGGTTGTGTCCCAAAATACACCCTATTCCCTATAAAGTGCATTACCTTTGACCAGGATCCTAAGGGCACTACGTAGATATTAGGGTGCCATTTGGGACACAACCTTGCTCTTCCTGTTCCATTCAGCCTGCCCTCGTTCCCTCATGTCCAAACAACGTCTATTTACATAGCTACTCCTCAGTCCAGATAGCCATGTACTTAGTGTGTACCTAGCTACCTCACTCTCTCTCTCTGAGTGGAACAGAATGTTCAGTACTGAACTCCTCTGACAGGCCTGTGTTGATTCAGAGGAGAGAGATACAAGGTTATTTTCCTGCTTCATAATAGGAATGGTCCCGGGTTATTCCTTCTTTTCACTCTGGCATCCATACAACCTGATTTTTAACCTGACAAAGGCTTAAGGGTCTGAAGTCAAAATCAGCTGTTGCCACTAACACATTGCGCCCATACTCTGATGAGTGAGGGAGGCCAGGCCAGAGGTATAGATGATACACAGAATACTCTATAGCTGGCCTGTCTCAGAACCAACTATGCACAATCCACTGCATAAGAGCAGCATAGACACATTTTTTGTTCGACTTCACGCAGAGCACAGCACTGCCCATTGTTATTCTGGCTACACTCTTGCTCACAGCCTGATCCATCTCTTTCCCCTGTCTACACCAACATGCTGCCCCGAGCTCAGATCTCTGGGTCTGGGACCGGCCAGGACAAAGCTCCCCTTTCACTGGGCCCTCACTGGGCTCCTAGTGTTACACACGGCGTTCCACCACAATAATAAAGCAGTACAATAGAGCAGTAAATTGTCACATGAATCTCTCAGAAGCTTATCCCAAAAAAACAGACAGGGAAATCATTCAATTTGATTACTGTGTAACTTAATATGGTTAAGGTTATGAAAGCGTTTCTCTAGCACTAGCTATAGGCGGATGATAATGCAGTCATTTCCATTTATGCAAAGCAGAGAGTCAGAGTCTCCACAAGGCAACACTTGATGCATGTGACTTGGTGTAAGGATATGTTCATACATGTACCACGACCACACATAAACATGCACAAAGAGGCATCTTAATATGGGTAGAATATATGGGTAGAATGCTGTGTCGTTTGGAAATGCTGTACATTTATGAAACTTAAGAGCGTGCCAATTTTGTTCAGTTTACATCCTCACAGCTGTTTCCAGCTTTGAGCTCTGTGATGCAACCTCCAATACGAACAAATGGAGCAATGAAAAGTATTTGTTTGATTGCTAAAAGCAGTCATTGAAGTGGAATGAAAAAGGAAAGCACCTGCTCAACTCTAGCACTGGCTGAAACAGACCTGCAGTGAATTCTACGAATATTTTTCTAGATATTTTGCTGGGCATCCGAGCCTGGTTTTGGCATGCCTGTCACTCACACAAGCCCCACTGTAAAAAAGGACACTGCACTATTCGTTTCTCCTGCTACATCAAAAGGTCTAGGCTGGGAAATCCTATCTTAATACAGATATCATCTCCCTCTCAGTGCAGACATCCCTGGTGTCTAGAAACCCGCCGGCGGTATCGTTGTCTTTTATGGCTCCCCCTTACATGTTGAGCCAGGAGTTTTCCCTAGGACTAAGGCCAGGATCTTTTTCTGGTCAGGTCACATGGTTAGGAAAAACCCCTGGGCCCTGATTCATGAAGCTATTTAGAGTGCTGATCTAGGACCAATTTTGCGTTTCAGATAATAATGAATCCGACAGACAGTGGGGACCTGATCCTAGACCAGAACTCCTACTCTGAGGCTTTATGAATAATGACCAGAGCTATCTGTTCCCTTCTAATGGCAGCCAACTGTAACTATAGTCTCACCTTATGGGAGTAGTGTGGGTCAACGATTCTGGCCAGGCCAAAGTCGCCGATCTTGAGCAATAACTGGTCTGTGTTGAGGAAGATGTTGGCTGGTTTGAGGTCACGGTGCAGCACGTTGGCTGAGTGGATGAACTTGAGGCCTCGAAGGAGCTGGTAGAAGAGCAGAGTGGTGTGCCCGCTAGGAAATGGCCCCTGCTCCAGCAGGTGAGCTAGGTCCGTCTCCATGCACTCCTGGACGATGTACAGGGCGCTCTGCTGGGCTGGATCGCAATGAAGTGGGCGGCCGTAGGGGCCCAGCACCTCGTGCACGCGCACCACGTTCTCGTGCTGCAGGCGCAGTGTGATCTTGACCTCCCGCAGGGCGTGCTTCACGCTGACCACGTCACGCATCACCAGCTTCTTCACAGCCACCCGTTGGCCACTGCGCTTGTCCACAGCGGACAGAACCAGACCAGTGGCCCCGCTGCCCAGGGGCCGGGGATCTATGAAGAGGCCCCCCAGGTCAAAGCCATGGAGGAACAGCAGGGAGTCCTGTTTGGCCATGGCTCAGGTGACCTCCACCAGTTATTGCATGACGAGGTCAAGAAATCAGAAAGGAACGTACATGATTTGAAAATAAAGCAAATAAACTAGTGTCATACATACACATAAGTAAATAATCCCATCTGTAAAATGGTTATTACTTAAAATAGAAATGTGTTTTATAATAGCATAGATCAACATGCATGGATTTGATTGCGATTACGTTTTTCCTGGAATAAGCTCCATAGAATTTCAAGTGTATCACTGTTGAACGAAGAGAATATAACAACGTGTACAGTAGTCAAGCTTGTGCCATCTACCGCAGATATCAGAGATAGTAGAGCAAGTGATGAGACAACTCTACACCCGTTGCCATAGCAATGCCCCAAATGTGCCTGCTACAGATAGAAGTATGGAATGGCAGAGGCAGGCACTCTCTGCACTGGTCTCTAATCCTAGCCGAGCGATCCCAGCTCAACTCCCCCTGGGGAAATGAGCTGAGAGTTACATACAGAGATTCTAGTGGATCCCGCTCCTTCCATAGCAGTCTGTCAGTCAGTTAGTGACCCGCCCATTCAGTCCTCCTCTGGCCGATGTTCCCAGACTTCCCACTCAATCCCGGTTTTGTGGCATTGAGTTAATGAGTGTCCATGGAATCCCTCAGCCTGTTGCTAGAGCTGCAGCCTTGCCTCCCTCTGGACTCTGGATACTGCTATTTGCCACCATCACCACCTGCTGCTTCTGCGACAGAGGGGGGAGATAAAGCAAGTTATGCATGAAATACAAAAGAAGATATTTTAAATGTGGACTGCATGGTGATAACGCACAATTCACTTTTTTTAGCCTCCCATTCACACTCATTTGACACAGCACTCCTACTTGGTGTCATTTTATTCCTACCTAATACAATAGATGCAAGGAACACACAGCATAGTTTATGTATAGGTCTACCTGATGTTTATATGAGATGTCAGAGCCCCTCTGTTGCATAGCATAGCCTAGTGGAAGAACAACATATCTCACCACATTCTAATTACATTTACATTTTACATTTTAGTCATTTAGCAGACGCTCTTATCCAGAGCGACTTACCTAATATGACTATTTTTAACATTCCAATTACTTAAATGGTAAGATATAATTATAACTAGGTGTACTAGGCAATTACTGGGGTACAAATATCAGAACACAATTTTAAAATAGGCATTTCCCTCCATGGAAACAAAGATAGGCCTATTGACACTGGATCTATTAAAAGGTATAGAGCAGGGTACCCCAACTGGCGGCCCGTTGGCCAAATTTGGCCTGCTGGAGATTTTATTTGGCCCCCCAAGTTTTCTGAGCAAAACATTTATTTTAATTTTTATTGTTGGACGTAAAAACACCAGCAAATCAGCTCCAAGTTATTTAACATTTTGGAAATCTGTTACAAAGTATTCCCACGCATAATAGAGATATGATTCTATACAAATGTAAGGAAGGTTTGAAATTATTACGTTTAAGTCAAATATTATATCTGTTTGGGAATCTTGCGGTCCGTTTGGCATAATGTAACATAGGCATAAAGCCTATAGGCCTATTACAAAGTTCATTAAGGTCTTTGTATCACAGGAGTTTGGTGGCACCTTAATTGGGGAGGACGGGCTCGTGGTAATGGCTGGAACGGAATCAGTGGAATGGTATCAAATACATCAAACACATGGTTTGATGCCATTCCATTCGCACAGTTCCAGATATTATTATTAGCCGTCTTCCCCTCAGCAGCCTCCACTGATTTGTATGTTTATAAACCAGTCTGTAGATCTAGAAGTAGTCGTAATCTATGCGAAATAAACACTAGTGGGCCTATGACAGAAAATATGGGATACATTTCGTCTGCCTGTTATTCAATATGATATTTATTATAGCCATAAAAAATATACATATTTACACATACATATATACATAAGTATATTTTTAATGGACCGTAATATTAGCCTATAATATGACTATAATAAATATCATATAGAATAACAGGCAACCGAAAATTTATTAATTAATATATACACACACACACATTAACACACACATTTAACTAAGCAAAAAAATAAACGTCCTCTCACTGTCAACTGCGTTTATTTTCAGCAAACTTAACATGTGTAAATATTTGTATGAACATAACAAGATTCAACTACTGAGACAAACTGAACAAGTTCCACAGACGTGACTAACAGAAATTGAATAATGTGTCCCTGAATCAAATCAAAAGTAACAGTCAGTATCTGGTGTGGTCACCAGCTGCATTAAGTACTGCAGTGCATCTCCTCCTCATGGACTGCACTAGATTTGCCAGTTCTTGCTGTGAGATGTTACCCCACTCTTCCACCAAGGCACCTGCAAGTTCCCGGACATTTCTGGGGGGGAATGGCCCTAGTCCTCACCCTCCGATCAAACAGGTCCCAGACGTGCTCAATGGGATTGAGATCCGGGCTCGTCGCTGGCCATGGCAGAACACTGACATTCCTGTCTTGCAGGAAATCATGCACAGAACGAGCAGTATGGCTGGTGGCATTGTCATGCTGGAGGGTCATGTCAGGATGAGCCTGCAGGAAGGGTACCACGAGGGAAGAGGATGTCTTCCCTGTAACGCACAGCCTTGAGATTGCCTGCAATGACAACAAGCTCAGTCCGATGATGCTGTGACACACCTCCCCAGACCATGACGGACCCTCCACCTCCAAATCTATCCCGCTCCAGAGTACAGGCCTCGGTGTAACGCTCATTCCTTCGACGATAAACGCGAATCCGACCATCACCCCTGGTGAGACAAAACAGCGACTCGTCAGTGAAGAGCATTTTTTGCCAGTCCGGTCTGGTCCAGCGACGGTGGGTTTGTGCCCATAGGCAACGTTGTTGCCGGTGATGTCTGGTGGGGACCTGCCTTACAACAGGCCTACAAGCCCTCAGTCCAGCCTCTCTCAGCCTATTGCAGACAGTCTGAGCACTGATGGAGGGATTGTGCGTTCCTGGTGTAAGTCGGGCAGTTGTTGTTGCCATCCTGTACCTGTCCCGCAGGTGTGATTTTCGGATGTACCGATCCTGTGCAGGTGTTGTTACACGTGGTCTGCCACTGTGAGGACGATCAGCTGTCCGTCCTGTCTCCCTGTAGCGCTGTCTTAGGCATCTCACAGTACGAACATTGCAATTTATTGCCCTGGCCACATCTGCAGTCCTCATGCCTCCTTGCAGCATGCCTAAGGCACGTTCACGCAGATGAGCAGGGAACGTGGGCATCTTTCTTTTGATGTTTTTCAGAGTCAGTAGAAAGGCCTACGTTTTCATAACTGTGACCATAATTGCCTACCGTCTGTAAGCTGTTAGTGTCTTCACGACCGTTCCACAGGTGCATGTTCATTAATTGTTTATGGTTCATTGAACAAGCATGGGAAACAGTGTTTAAACCCTTTACAATGAAGATCTGTGAAGTTATTTTGATTTTTACGAATTATCTTTCAAAGACAGGGTCCTGAAAAAGGGACGTTTCTTTTTTTGCTGAGTTTATACACACACACACACACACACAGTTGAAGTCGGAAGTTTACAAACACTTAGGTTGGAGTCATTAAAACTAGTTTTTCAACCACTCCACAAATTTCTTGTTAACAAACTATAGTTTTGCCAAGTCGGTTAGGACATCTACTTTGTGCATGACACAAGTAATTTTTCCAACAATTGTTTACAGACAGATTATTTCACTTATAATTCACTGTATCACAATTCCAGTGGGTCAGACGTTTACATACACTAAGTTGACTGTGGCTTTAAACAGCTTGGAAAATTCCAGAAAATGTCATGGCTTTAGAAGCTTCTGATAGGCTAATTGACATCATTTGAGTCAATTGGAGGTGTACCTGTGGATGTATTTCAAGGCCTACCTTCAAACTCAGTGCCTCTTTGCTTGACATCATGGGAAAATCAAAAGAAATCAGCCAAGACCTCAGAAAAAAACATGTAGACCTCCACAAGTCTGGTTCATCCTTGGGATTAATTTCCAAACGCCTGAAGGTACCACGTTCATCTGTACAAACAATAGTACGCAAGTATAAACTCCATGGGACCACGCAGCCATCATACCGCTCAGGAAGGAGACGCGTTCTGTCTCCTAGAGATGAATGTACGTACATTGGTGCGAAAAGTGCAAATCAATCCCAGAACAACAGCAAAGGACCTTGTGAAGATGCTGGAGGAAACCGGTACAAAAGTATCTATATCCACAGTAAAACAAGTCCTATATCAACATAACATGAAAGGCCGCTCAGCAAGGAAGAAGCCACTGCTCCAAAACCGCCATCGAAAATCCAGACTACGGTTTGAAACTGCACATGGGGACAAAGATCGTACTTTTTGGAGAAATGTCCTCTGGTCTGATGACCATCGTTATGTTGGAAGAAAAAGAGGGAGCTTGCAAGCCGAAGAACACCATCCCAACCGTGAAGCACGGGGGTGGCAGCATCATGCTGTGGGGGTGCTTTGCTGCAGGAGGGACTGGTGCACTTCACAAAACAGATGGCATCATGAGGAAGGAAAATTATGTGGATATATTGAAGCAACATCTCAAGACATCAGTCAGGAAGTTAAAGCTTGGTCGCAAATGGGTCTTCCAAATGGACAATGACCCCAAGCATACTTCCAAAGTTGTGGCAAAATGGCTTAAGGACAACAAAGTCAAGGTATTGGAGTGGCCGTCACAAAGCCCTGACCACAATCCTATAGAACATTTTGTGGGGAACTGAAAAAGCGTGTGCGAGCAAGGAGGCCTACAAACCTGACTCAGTTACACCAGTTCTGTCAGGAGGAATGGGCCAATATTCACACAACTTATTGTGGGAAGCTTGTGGAAGGCTACCCGAAACGTTTGACCTAAGTTAAACAATTTAAAGGCAATGCTACCAAATACTAATTGAGTGTATATACATTTCTGACCCACTGGGAATGTGATTAAATAAATAAAAGCTGAAATAAATCACTACTATTATTCTGAC